GATATGTGACAGAAGATCCGGCCCAAGTGATATCACCGATTTCTCATCGAGTGATTCTTGAGTGGGAGAAGCCAAAATAGCAAGCTTAGTTGAAGTACATGAAAAAAGCCTTCATTTATACGATCCTCTATAATAGGAAACAGTTCCAAATAAAAATGCTTTCAGACTTACTGTGCCTGTTTGAGATGATTTCGATCGGACCATCTTTTTCAAAAAAGCCGAGTGTGATGAAGGGAGGTCCGTTGTCGAAAGGATTTTCGCAGCTGGATTTCTGAAGAATCCTCTGGCGATAGCACAGTGAAAATTATAGGTCTTGGGAACAACTGTCCTCCAAATCAATATGCTCCTGAAATTAAAGACATTACTCTCACTCTACTGGGGAACTCCGAAGTCAAGAGTAGGTTTTTCGTTTGTTCTCTTTGTTTACTTAGAACAAGGGTTCCGTCGGCGCAGGATGGCGCAAAGCGGGGCAGCATACCTTGGCGTCAACGCGCGTCGACGCGCTGTGGCACGCTGTTGTATGTGCAGGATTCTTTTCCAGAGCAATAGGTTAATACCATTGAAGCCGCCCAACGGGGAGTGCTGACAAAGGGCATTGTCGAGTGAGCCACAATAGGAACTGTAATCGGGAGCGTCAAACTTTCGCTCTGAAGTGATCAGACTTCGCGATCGCGCGACCATATCCGCTATCAGATCGCGCTATCTCGATCGAAGGCGCTCCTCCGTGATACGGTGCACCGCCGCAGCGGCTCAATTCATATCGGCATATGAACGCCGCCCAATTCGAACTCTGTGGATGCGGCGGTGCATGGCTTGGCGGTGTAGCGCCCCGGTTGTGGTCGCCCGATCCAATCGCGCGTTCCAATCGAGCGATCGTGAAGTGTGAACGCGGTCTCATAAAACCAGGTTGTTGTTCCCTTACCAGAAATCGAGGATAGATCGACTGCGACTGGGCGAACTACCCAACTTTCTTTCTTTGCTCTCTCTCCATCTCATTGCTTCCATATTTTAGTTCCATTAGAACGAAAGGAAGATGCATTCGTCGCTGAATCACTGCTACCTCTCAACCTTCTCAAAACAACCATAGAGCACCTCCCAACTCTAGCGATGAGGGTCCGGCTGACTATTCCAACATCGTATTTCAGCATTGAAGGACTTATAAATCTGAACTTGTACGTTTATTTGTTCGTTCAACTGCTTCCCGTGGAGAAATTATGAGCAAATTCTCCACCCATTGCAGGGAACAGCCGTCAACAACACCCGCTGCTGAGAAGATTCTGGCAAAAATACTGAATGGCGAAAAGCCTCCCGGATACGATTGGGTGATTACCGTAGCGGAAGGATCTCCGAGAGAGTACTTTGTTCACAGGAAAGTTCTCGAAGATGCAAGTCCTACTTTGAAAGTGGGTGTCTTGGGGTATTGCTTAGAACTGCCGCATATAGATTTGCGGGAGGGAAAAATTAGTAGAAATGTGGTGGTATTAGATAATGTTAATACAGAGGAACAGTCTGGGATATTGTGCATGAGCAGTGCTCATCAGGGCACATCCGCTGTTGTCTGGAATCCCCAAATAGGGGGGGTCGTATTTGTCGCCGGGGGGGCAGGTGGGGTGGGTCGCGTATTTGGCTGAGAAAAATTATACTTTGATGAGTTGATTTTTCTCGCTTTATTGGACGTTTGAAAGGTACGGGGGTCGATTTGCATCATTTGGGAGGCGGGGGAGTCGTACGAACTCCCAAAAAAAGGGGGGGTCATGAGAGGTCGACGAAAATCCCAAACGCAATGGGGTGCCTGGTGATCAGATCATAAAACTAAGAGTAACCTCCTTCTCATGTAACTCTTTTGGATTGGAGCAGTATTTATATCTTTGCATGAAGACACTGACAATGAAACAGGCGTCAAACTTCTCTTTCTTGGATGATTTATTCAACTAATGTCCCCTTGGAAACCTCTTCAAGAAGGGCTGTGACTTTCAACAGTCTGAGCAGAATTATGTGACGTACTGAGGTCAGGGCAGCTAGGCAACCTACTCCTCGGATGCTGCGGAACATGAGCTTTTTGTATTGACACTACTTCGCATTTCTCACTTTTGATTTCTTCCTTCATTCAGCCATCCGTTTATTAACTTTCCCTTTCCAAGTTATGCGGCGAACCCGTGGGTGTACGTCAACAACTAGACACCTAGATAAAGAAATATTTAAGTACCTTCCATCACGAACCACTGATGTCACTGGAAATCAAGACATTTTCTATAGAAATATGTAGACACAGGCTTTCCATAATCGCACGAAATATCAGGTCGTCTTTCATACACACACTTCACTTCCTTCTGAGCAATTACTAATGGTTTCTCATGAAGATCGTTGTATTTTCACAACCACTCACGCATCGGATATGAAGACGGTGAGTTCATGAAAACCGTCTATGTGCTGTAAATCAGTTGAAGATTTACAGATTTTGACCTATTTTTACCTCCGCCAATTTGACATTCCTGCGTATGATGCGTTCGCTCGTGTGGGAAGAACACTTTGTTGGCTCTTCCCACAAGAAATAATTTCAAGCTTCTTCGAATACTGGGAAGTTGCCATTGTTCGTGATCTCCTTAAGACCGATGTGAGTTTTAATGTTACGAGACTTGCTGGTTAAGAGAACTAAAGAGACACTCCGGCTGAATCACATATCAGTAAAGTCGCAGCCCAGACAGAGGATACGAGTACCAGGGCGGAAGATACCCAAGATGTTCCTCGATAAGCAGGAGCTGGCTCTCGCCCATCACCTTCATGTACACCAAAATGAAGTCATCTCCAATCGCAGCCTGACTGGAGAAGGCCTTTGGAATTCACGTCACCTCCAAACAGCTGCGAAACTTCTTGTATGGAGTCACCCATGGATAGCTACCTGGAGACAGCACTCTTGATCTGGAAGACCTCCAACATCGAGCAGCTCCGACAACGTCGCTACGGTCCAGGATCATCTTCACCGCAGTCGCCAGGGCGCGGGTTGATGGTATAGACCGGAAGTCCCTGGAATGGGAAGACCGATATTTTCTTCGTGCGCGCGCAGGAAACGTGAGCGGTGGCTATACATCGAAGTGCTCGAGGAGAATATGCTGCTTCATGTTGTCGCCTGTACCATTTTGGAAACTTCGTACTGCTACAGGATTGGGTGCCAGCACATGGAATCGAAGGGCGTTGGAAAACTCTCGCCTACATGGAATCGAAGGGCGTTGAGAACCTGAAGAAGACAAAATATCTAAGTGTGTCACCTGACCTAAACTCCTCGATTACCGGGTCCGAGCGGAGCTCAACAGGTGGTCTACAGTGGCGGAGAAATCAACGACCTCGCTGAACTCAGGCACCGAATCACGGTCGCGTGGCAGAATCTCTCGATGGCTCGAATTCAGACTCGTCTAAGGAGCAGAATTCAATGAGGTGTAACCTATAGCGCCTTGAAAGTCGAGGAAGAGAAGCGTCCTTTTTCTACCTTCATCTTTGTTTATTGCCCCCCCCCACCTATACATCTATTTACATGCCACATCATCCTAACCAGTTATTAGGTTGTCACAAAAGTTCGTGGACACTTTCAAACTTTTTTTCGAATTAAGTTTATTCCAGTGGGAAGCAATTTTGATCAGCTATATATATGTCACCTTCATTGGCAACTTGTTGCCAATCACTACGCAATGTGTGGTTGCCTGCCTCCCGAAGCCTCTTCGTTTTTAAGAAGATGGCCGCTGTGGGATTAGTTTAGATGGCGATCGGAAAGAGCTAAGTCAGGGCTACACGAAGACTGTGGTGGAATTCCCCAGCTAAGCTTCGGGATCTCGAGCAGTGTCGTTTTCCAAATGTGTGACCCTGAGCTGTGGTGGAGTAGGCAAACATTGCTCGGTTTTTGGGACCAAATGTTAGCGATTTTCAACCCCCTTTGCAGTTGATTACAATAAGGTTCGTAGGTTACCACAGCGCTGAGAAGAAGAAATTTGCTTATGGGAAGGGAGAAAGAAACCCCACCACATACACAGTCTCACCGCCCTACTGGATTGATAGGATTGCGCGATCGGTTCTGCCCTTTCTGGGGATCTAGCCGCTGGCGCTCCCAGGAGTGATTCACCTAGAGGCACCCACTCCATATCCAGTTACAGTGCTGTTCAACCAGTCCGTACAGCGGAAGCGGGAGAAAAGTTGTAGACAGTACCCACATGTGCTCCCCTTGGAGTACTGGTCAACTCATGAGAAAAATTTTGACCGAACTTCAGAACTTTTCTAAGGGAGCGAGGCCCTCTCTCATTTGTGCTTTGGGACCAGTCAAGTGTAAGGACTAGATAGCAAGTTGATTTGTAGTATTGGTTTTAATCAAGGAACACAGTAGGTCCAAATCCAAGGCAGGTGGCCTCCTTGGACGAAGTTTTTCACCCGGATAGAAGTCACTAAAGCGGAAGCAATTGAGCCATTCCAAAGCCGTACTGTGGAAGGTAACATCAAGATCTAAATAAGGGAAATGCCGCTTATGGCTCCAACCACGTTGTGGCTTGGTAGAGATTCATATAGCGAAGTGTGTCGAAAATGATGAATTTCAATTACCGTTTTTCATATGAGAACAGCGACTGCGAGGGACGGTGAAGAAGCTGTGGAATGCTTACCTCACACACTTCCCATAGACCACATAACTGGATCTCGAAATGGCTGCGGAAAGATCTGATACGAGATTCAAAAAATGTCCCACGAACTTTTGGGACAACCTAATATATTTTGAACGCTTTACGGCAGAACGGAGGAGAAGTTATGAGCTTACTGTCGAGTACACCTACAGACAAACTTAACGGATTGCATGCAGTAGGATCCTTGTGATAACTCAACTGTTCAGAAGCGCAACACTTATGCAACACTTCATACGTGTGCACAACACCTCATATCAATCTTCTCAGCTCCGTATGGTGCAATGCCTGTGGCGAAAAGAACTGCTGTCGCCGTAATGGCCGATACCGTAAGGAACTAAACGTTTTATCCTATTAACGTTTACTCAGGTTGAAAGGAATTTTTTTGCAGTGGCAAATGGCTGAGGCACTAGGCATGAATGTAGAGGAAGAAATCAAAAAAATGACTGACCTTCCCATGGGACTTATGGAAAAGGTTCATAGAATGTTGCTTCGAGGCTTTCAAGATATATTTGTTTTTTTCCATTTTCTTCTTCTACCTTCACCTTGAATTCTGTTCGTTCAGATTTTGTATAGCGTTGAAAAGTTCCGTACTGTCGTCAGTGGAGTTCGCAAAACCAGCATTTAAGAAACGATTCGCACGTTTTGGAACATTAGCCAATCCTATTTTCCCAATAAACCGTTTATTTGATGAACAGTGCTCGAGAACACTCAAGGGCAAGGTGTACCTGGCGGTGGTAAGACCTACAATGCTCTACGGCAGTGAGTGCTGGCCCATCTGCAAGAATCATGAAAGGCAGCTCCACTCAGCTGAAATGAGGATGCTGAGATGGGCCTGAGGCACGACTAGACAGAGTTCTGAAAGCAGGACGTCAGGGCGGTCGCACTGACGGCTCCGATCCAGTTCAAGGCACGGGAACAGCGACTGCGATGGTATGGGCACGTCTAAGGAGGCCTGAAAGTCCACCTAATAAGGGAGCGTTGGAATTTTAACCTCTTTGAATTCTTGGGATTTCTAAAGATGTTTCTTTGAAAAATTTAAAAATTTTTTTGATTCTATCGTACTTAAACTTGTTATTCCTACCCTTCCTTACTGATGAGCACGGAGGGAGGATACCATGGTTGTCTAGTTTCCGTCTAAGGGCACGTGCGAAACGGAAACTAGACTACTTCCTTGAAATCAATAAAAATAAAAATAAAAAATAAAACAAAGTTCAATTCTAAATTTTAATATAAGTAAATCATAGCACAGTTTTGGACATCGATGTTTCAATCATCACATTAAATAGAGGGCAAGCGACCACGAGGAGCCCCAAAGAAAAGATGGAGGGACGTCATCAAGAGGGATCTCACTGAAGTGAAAGCCTACAGCAGAAGATGCAGTGGATCGGAACAAGTTGGCGACGTTCTAACAAGAACAGCACCCTGCAACGGTGTGGGATTAACGCTAGGGGAGAAGAAGAAGAGGGAACCGTTCATTTGATAATGAGAGAAAGTTCATTGATATGATGAGAGAAATTTCAAGTCTTACAAGTCTTTAAGTCTCTTGTTTGTGTTCTGTGTGAATCCCTGTAAACGTACGCGGCGGAAATACGGTCGGTTCAATCTGCTGCGAAAAGTTCTTAGTTCCACTTTGTAGGTCCCCGTAAGCATGGTGGATTTGTACACAGCACAAAACGGTAGAGCTAGCGCAGAACAATACTGTGGGATAAACCATGCATATAGGCTCCACTATAAATCGCATAAACCAACCTAGTGACTATATCGGAGTGAAAAAGAATCTCCACAGTCTAGTTCAACATTCTTCTGCTAGACGATCCTTATGACGAACAGTGGAGTGTTGTTGAAGAGGTTGCCTTATTGACACTACTCAGAAAGGTGCAACGCCCACTTCCCTTCAACGATTCGTTCGGCCCGAGACACGCACAAGAAAACCGTCGCCTTTTTCATCTCACACGACTATTGTCATAGGCTTTCTGCCTTGAATCGAGAATAAATTGTAAAAGTGAAGCAGCATATTGAAAAGGTAGTGGTCCATTCTCGATTTCGGGTCACCCGTCTTCTTACAGAGCTTGCGCCCAAGTGGTGTGGGCGCTGAGACTTTGCGCTGATAGTAAAGGGAGAAACTCTATGTTTTGACTTTGCTCGTCTTCTGCGGTTTCTTGCCGCAGTTTATCAGGCTGAGGCTATCACAATTAGCTTGTAATTTGTACCCAGTAGCTGAAACAATGGACACAAATGCAATACACAAATAATAAGAATTGGCAGGGAAACCCCCAGTGCTCTAGAAATGTGGTACCCTATGAGAGACTGTTGATACGAGTCCTATTCTACGATGAGACTCAGCCAGAACAAAATGATTCCGCCCGTGGAACTCTCCACATCACTTCCATTATGATCTCGTTTTCAGCGACAGAATTTTGCTGAACTTGTAGAAGAAGTGTACGTTAAGGAATCTCCAGGTTGTCGATGACTGCTTCATTTTCTCATCACGAGCAGTAGTCTTGCTAGCTGCGGTTGCTGGGCCGTGTCAGGGGGGGGGGGCTGGATGTAGCCCCGCCAGTAGCTTTTCCAACAATTGTTGGCACTAGCCCTCTTCAATGGCTGGTTCAAACGGGCTGGAGCCGAGCCAAACCCGGCCCCTCCGAGAATTCCCAGCTTCCGCAGCTGGGAATCCTCAGAGGGAAGGAAAAAGAACTTCACGACTGTACGAAGGACGCTCTACTTTCGTGCACACAAGCATGCCCACATTATAACCGGCAATTGAAATTAACACTTTATGCAAGCTTTTATTGTCAACTATCTGTATTTATCAAGTAAAACTGGCGTATTTCATTTGCCTTTTTCTGGATGGAACATTCTGATGTAACCTCGATTAAACTGCTCAATCAAGAAACCTGCTCCAATGAAAAATGAAGGCACTGTATGAGGTCCGAGCCTCATATAATAGGGTGTGAAGCCTTTCCAAAAAGCAAACACTCCTTCTTTCTTGAGTAACTGAAACGAGAACCGTGGTGAAAGATAGTAGTTGCCAAGTATGATGATAAAAAAGTTACCTTCACGCACACATCTATGGGACCACTATACTCAGGCACTCCATCTATAATCTTCATCGCTTGAATTCTAAATCGAGAAAGTCGCGTTCAAGTGAATTGTGAAGGATCACAGTATACAGGGGGGGGGGCAAAAAAAAGTCATTTCGGCCGAGCCACATATCAACGAAGTTTTCGCAGCCCAGACAGGGGAAGTGGATATGAGTACCAGAGTGGAAGATACCCAAGATCTTCCTCTATAAGCTGGAGCAGGCTGCCGCCAATCGCCTTCATGTACGCCAAAATATGAAGTCATCTCCAGTCGCGGCCTGACTGGAGAACACCTTTGGAATTCACGTCGCCTCCAAACAGCTGCGAAACTTCTTGAATGAAGTCATCCACAGATAGCTACCTGGAGGTCAGTACTCTTGATCTGCAAGACCTCCCACATCGAGCAGCTCCGCAACGTCGCTACGGTCCAGGACATCATCTTCACCCCATTCACCAAGGCGCGGGTTGATGGTGTGGACCGGCCGTACCTGGAATGGATGAACCGATATTTTCTTCGTGGACCCGGACTAAAGGTGAGCGCTGGCGGTTACATTGGGCAACTCGTGAAGAATATCCAGCTCACATGTGGTCGCCCGTACCTTCTTGGAAACTTTGTACTGCTACAGCATTGAGTGCCACCACATGAAATCGAAGGGCGTTGGAAAAACTTTCGCCTACTTGGAATGGAAGAACGTTGAGTACCTGGAAAAGATGGAGTATTTAAGCGGGGGTCCTGAACTAAACCCCCTCAATTACTCGGTTCGGGCGGAGCTCAACAGGGTGGTCTACAGTGGCGGAGAAATCAACGATCTCGCTCAACTCCGGTACCCACTCACTTTCGCGCGGCCGAATCTCTCGATGGCGCTCCTCCAGAAGGCTGTGGCGGAGTATCATTATAGTATTTAATGTGCTCTTTAATATGGTAGTAAAAATGTCCGATAAAAATTTAATAAAGTGTAACTTATAGCGCCTTGAAAGTCATGGAGGCAAAATGACTTTTTTTGGCCCCCCCTGTAGTCTCGTCCGCTGCCTCTGATTGGAGGCTCAGCGCGAAGCGTTTGGCGCGGCGCCAACCCTTTTTTCTTTCGGAAAGCTAGGTGCCTGTATCACATCGTGCGTACCAGTCGTCTTCACCACTTGCTGTCCCTCGCACTTCTCAGCAAATGATGAAGAACGGTCTGACTCATTCACAGCGAATAAGACAATATTTACAACCCACCGTGTTTTTAAAATGTCAACAGGCATGGATGCTATTGTAGTTGCTAAGCCGGAAATCATTGAAGCACAAAAGTGGCAAAATATTCCTGAAAAGAGTGGAAGACGGAGTGCTTTCCTCTATCAAAGGAGTGCCAGATGCGCATCGAAATCAAAAAGGATTTTCTTCTTGATGCCAAAGGAAAAAGTACACTTACCACAGTGATCCTTGCAAATGTGCTAGTGAGTGGTCCCTGCTGCTGCAGTAGCGCGCCACCTTCTTCGATCAGAGGTGTACGGAAGGAGTGAGAGGGTAATGATACACGAGGACAGGCTGCATGCTCTGTTCGCGACATCCTTAAAGGCAGTTGGCACGATAAATCCTCCAAGACGAGCAGGACTAATACGCCTGGCAGGACGGAATTCCGCGACCCTGAGCAGGCGCTGCATAATGCCTTTTCCAGGGGGGAAGCCCTTATAAGGGCGCTATCAAGCCACAACTTTACGTCCCAAACGCCCCCTTGCCCGCCCGCCCACAAATGACGACTGTTCCTAGACGCTCTGATTGATTCATTTGCTAAGCAAATTATGAAGCGAAGGCATTGGTATGAAGCGGTCGTGATGCTGCATGGATATATGAGTACACATATGCAGCCGTACCTTCGGTAGCGGTTATTGGTAAGATGCCTTCGGGAAACTCGTCCAAAATTGATTACTAACACAGTGAGAACGAAGGCTCTTTTTCGCAGGATTTTGACCGTTTCACTCCGTTCTTTCGCCATTTCCCCACTATATAGCGCCCTACTAGCATTTTAGGCCGAGCACCCAATCATCGTGCCAACTGCCTTTAACGTACTGTACTTGCATCGCTCCGCCGGAGGCATCAAAGCGAGCCAATACTGAGCCGTACCGAGACGATCAGAAGTGAGAGGGTGCGACACAGTGCGTGGCGTATCGTATGCGTTAGTGCGTGTGACTGTGTGCGCGCCAGCATAGGCGTTGTATCGAGACGGGTTACGTGACATTTTGAACATTTGTGCATGGTCCTGTTACGGAACCCTGTGACGCAGACGGATAGAGGGACAGTTGGCTTTGCCAAGCGATCGACAATGTTGCAAGAATTATGGCCGAGCAGGCAAACGGAGTTTTTCAAGGCGAAGGGACTCCGGGTGGGTGAGCTACTTATGGTGAAAAAGCTGGCGAAGAAAAAAAAAGAGCAAAAGAAAAAAAAAGCGAGCGAAGTCACAACGCATGCCATGCGCGGACGAGAGAGTGACAGAGAAAAGAGAAGATTGGACGAGGTTTTTAATAGGAATTGCAGTTCAAGTTGTCCGAGACAATCAAAACGGCGCCCGCGATATCACCTTACCCCCCGAAACCCGTCCAGGACATTTTTGAAGGTGGCACGCCACTGCAGCTGCTTGCACAGAGCAAGGTAACCTTCTCAGCTATGTATACAGTTTGTCTTCAGAGCAGATAGCTTGGCGAACTCACCGTCGTGGATTTTCCCTGTGGAAAGAATCATTTGTTTCGCTTGAGAGTAAGTGGCCAACTGCGCAGCATTTACTACCATAGCTCGAAGCACTGTTGGTGTACACCCCTTGAAGTGAATTCCCAATTAACCGTCCAAGCAAGCTGAAGGCAGAGGAGTAGGGAACTCACTCGAAAGAGTACGAGAACCCCTTCTTCTTTCACAACACGGATCAGTGCATCGAACACGTTCTTATAGTTTCGTCGTTGTTCAGGTGGCAAATGGCCATCACCTTCAAATGGATGAACCAGTAATCATTTAGTCTTTCTCAAGTTCTAACAGTGTAAAGTGAAGAAACTTTAGCATCAGCGGCGCGTACGGAACAACTAAAGCATGGACCCTCCCGCTTTGGGCAACCTCCCGTGGGCTGGGAATTTTCAGTTTAGTATTTCTGACCTAGTGATGAATGATGATTTGGATACAGTTCCCAGAGCGAATGCGACGGAAGACTGCTGAGTTATAGTCAAAAGTCGGACTCCAGGGGGGATTCGAATTCTCATCTGCCAATGACCAAGCGAGTGCCCTATCCAAAGGTGAGAGCGTTTATTTGAAAAAAAGAGTTCCAGCTTGAGGAAGCAGAGCGGCTCTATCTAATCCGTCTAGCTGAAATACCGGGCGGGCGCGTGGATTTCGACCCAGCGCCAGCCCCTTCCTCTCCATTCTTTGAGAGCTCCAAGTCGATGGAAGGTGGGCGGCGTTAGCATGTTAGCCACCAATTGCGAAAGACGTCAAGCGATTCAACTGATGAAAAACAAGCAAACACCGCGCCAAAATCCACTTGTCATTGGCATGCCCTAACCGGCTATAATAAGACTGTATATGTTTCAGCCATAGTTCAGTGGTAGAACTCTCCGACGGTGTCATCCCAATGGAAGGACAAAAATACCGGGCTCGAGAAGACCCTATTGCGGAACTTCCAGTAATGTGCATAATGCTAGGTTAGCTACGGAACCATCTGGATTCGTCATTTTGGCGGCTAACAGAGCAGGAAGCCTGAACCTAATGACGGTAGTCAACATTGCTGATTCGGTTCTCCCAAAGCACTTTTATTGCCTTATCTGCATTACTCTACTGCAGACCCTATTCCACATGCCAAAAGCACAAACCTGTCATTCGGATTAATGCTAACTCTGCGGGAGTTCCCACTAGTGCTCCACATGCGCCAGCTCCCATTCCTAGAGTGGCTTTCATTGGAAAAGAGAGCGGTTGATCTTTCCTGAAAGCTCGTTGCATCAATAATTAGTCAGTTAGTTACAGTCAGCTTGAGCATTCATCAATATTTTTCACTGTGACATGGTCGGTGATACTCACTTTCCTACTCACACCTCGTCCACCAGCCGGGTATGTGACAAGAGGATCGTAATTTGCCGCGCTGCTGGGCGTCGCGTGCGA